GTGATATCAATCCTTAATTTTACTCGGCCCCATGCGATTACTTATACTAATTTACTGGTTTACACCTGTGACACAAAGAAAAACCGCGCGGATGTAAAGAGTTAAAGAAAACATTTTCTCCCTTTTGACACACGCCTTGGTAATTTTGTTCTGTTGTTCGCGGCTGGCGACATCGAAAGCATCATTGTTAAGTATTCTGTAACTTTGCTTGAACTCTACCCAGATTTGAACCGACTAGGGAGTCACCTCAACTGCCGGATGTGGGAAGAATCGTGCTTGTGTTGTCTGAGCAGTACACGTGAACATATTCTTTTTACTACTCCTTCGTGTGAGACTGAACTTTTCAAGGGCGAATTAAGATAAAATTTTCAGGGACGGATTTGCGTAGCTCTTTTGATTGGGGTTCAAAAATTTGGATCTCGAAGTTACTGTTGAAACTGTCTTTCGGGAATCAACTGGCGTGTAGCCTTACTGACGGATAATATTTCGTTGGATCTTCAGCTTGTTCTTGTTAAATTTTAAAGGGAACGAGAAATAGTATTTTGCTTCCGAATCATGATCTTTGCTACTGGTATGGAGTTTTCAGTGGAAGTATATTTTATTATCTCCACGTAAGCATGCCTTTACAAATGCTTCTACATTTATTTTTTCAACAACTATTTTCAGACATCCAAGTTCTTTCCGAGAAACCATGAATTGTAAATCATGTTTTGTGAAACTGAAACTCGCAGAGAGGCCGGAAGTAACTTCCGCTTTTGGTTAGTTTTTGTTTTAGTTTCGTTAGTTTCAACATGGACATGAACTAAGTGTTTTCCACGGAGTCGAGGAACTAGCTTTGAAAGTCAGTCATATCAAAGGTTCGCGTCTTTTCTTTCATCAAAAGAGTATAGATTCAAAACTTGACTACCCTGAGAGATACAGAGGTAGTTATGCTTGGATATATTGTCCCCTTTTTGGTCCTTACGGATAAAAATACGAATCACAAATAAAACCATTGTAAATGCCACACAGCCACAGTTTTTAGACTCTATGTATCGTTTGTTTTATCATGGGCCTAAAAGATATTTAACCATATCAGAGTCTTTATCGTCATAAAAAGGAAAAAGTATATATTTACGGCGCTGAAAAGATCTAATCCAAAACACTATCAACTTAATCGTTTCGACTCACCAGTAGTTTTCAGTAACGCCCAGTAGATATTTGCGTAACCAATTCCAGCGTTGTCTTCGTTGATTGAGAGCCGTGATTCGTGGGCATTGACAGCAAAAACAGCGAAATCCATTTGTAGTCCGGGAATAACTGTCCCGTACATCTCTGACATTTCACACAGCCGAAAATTTCGCTTACCTACAGCAAACCGCATCTTTGCATCGTTTTGCACAGTAAGTAGCAAGGATTATCGCAGTTAAAAAGAGAGATGTTGGTCGGCTTTCCTTTCATATCCATGGCACTTTTCTTTCAAATAATTTCACCAACGAACAGGAAAGCAAACCTTTCTCGAACACAGCCACACAACTTGTCGTTCCCCGGAGACGATTTCCCAGAATATCGTGTTACCCCCATTTGTAACCGAACCTTTTTGCTGACGTGTACGGCAACAGCATTTAAATACTGTTTATTTTTTACTTCTAATCCCTAATTGAAACTAGCGGCTATAGATAAATATCGATATTTTATTTTAAGTGCATTCAAATACTTGCAGCTGAAAAGGTAAAAGTGGAGAAGAATTTAACTTTTGTCTTTTTTCTTGAAACGGCTTCATTAGCCTTCTCGCGAGCAAAACAACACGCTCACTGAAGAATAAAGATTTCAGTCAAATGTATCATAAAACGTCTGACACAAGATCACCGACAATTTTCAAACGAGAGGAAGCTTACAGCAATTGAAAGCTACGATTTCTCAAGATAAATAAATATAAGATAAATAATCAAACAAATACACATATGTCTTGTTTAAAATGACCGTTAAACGGCCGCTATCTTGTCAATATTACACGCATGGACGAGGACGGTTATCAACATTAAAGCAGAGCATGGAAAATGGAATAACAAGGCTAGCATCTGGTCTTTCTTATGACATCTGAGGTCTACTACTACTATTACTACTACTACTACTACTACTACTACTACTACTACTACTGCTACTGCTGCTGCTGCTACTACTACTACTACTACTACTGCTACTGCTGCTGCTGCTGCTGCTACTACTACTACTACTATTACTATTACTATTAATGATGATGATGATGATAATAATAATAACCCGGAAATGTCTTTCACCCTCTCTTACTGGGATTTACTGGGAAGCATTCATTTACAGTAGCGGAGAGGGAAAGGGAGGGGGGGTTGGAGCAGGGGGAGAAGTTGGATGGACTTTACTCTAACACAAACCTTGAGACATTTCGACAGTGTTCACGTTCCTTTTCATTTTCACATTATTTTATACTTTAGTGTTTGTTTCTTCACTGGAAAATTAGGATTTCGGAACCTATGACTGAGATCTACAAACAAAACTTGGGAAAAGGAATACGATCTAAACTAATCTAAACCGTGATACCATGCAAAAGATTTTTAATACAAAATGCTAAAAATCTTGTTACCAAGGCACCCATCGTTAAAAAATCAGCTAACGATAAAAAAGTAACATTTATAGTAGTTTATTGACAATGTGTTCATCGTACATGGCTTTTCACCTCCCGATTAGCTCAATTGGTTAGAGCGCTGGACTGTTGTGCGGGAGGTCGAGGTCGATGGTTTGAGCCCCGGCCGGACCAACACTCAAGGTCTTAAAATAACTGAGGAGAACGCGCTACCTTTCTATAATATCAAAAAATGGATAGAAATTCTAGTCTTCTCCGATAAGGACGAATAAACCGTCGGTCCCGTCTCCTGCATCTATTAATTTGTTCATTTGGTTAGGCAGGGAACGTTAAAGAACCCACTCACGAGATTACTGTGATGTGGTCTGGCCTGTTTACTGGGAATTGGGGGGAGGTTTTCTTCCATTGTTTGTAAACTGCTGATGCAGTCCGGCCAAAGTCCCCCGAAAAGTGTTGTGAGATATCAGACATTTGTAGCATTTGCAAGGCAGATGTTTATTCTACGACACATAATTGGAATACAGGTAAGCCTCGGGCGAATCGAACTCTACGGCTATCATAAATATAGGCAAATGACGACTGCTCGTTCGAATCCTGAAGAAAGGGAATACACAAATTATTTCGTACGCTTTTTGGACATTCAAGCCAAAAGAAGTGAATGTATACAACTTTATAGGTAGGTAGGTAGGTAGATAAGTTTATATCTCACATTTTCACAGAAAATCTGAATTACAATGTGGTTACAATTTAACAAATATATAAAATTACATGCGTGGATAGGGACTAGGCTACAATGGGTTTAGAAATAAGATAATTAATTAATAATTAACATTTAACTATGTGGGTATGCAAATATATA